AGCATTCAAGGCTGTGGGATAGAGGGAGTTGTAAATTAGCCGTATCAATTTGACATGAATGCCCCTGGTAGAAGTCATATACAGCTTGAGAAGTTGGTAGTATTAAAGTACAATTTTGATTATCTCGATGCGAATCTAGCAAAGGTTTGATGACCAATATGCGGACTTTTAGGTAAGAAGGTCAATTTACCCATATTGTTGAAAATTTTTTGTGACTTTGCTGCAGTTTTGCTGTTAGAACGTCTTGAAGTCGTTGAGCTTTTGTACTATACACAAAGAAGTGACCTATAACTCCAGAGTCATTTTACTCCTCTGGTCTTCTTAAACTTTATAATCCATCCATCTAAGGCGGTATGCATTGTCATTTCAGTACCACGTCGACAACCACTGTCTCAGAGGAAAATTAACCACTATGGCTCAAAGGGAGGTTTAATGGCTTAGAAACTGGAAAAGCTGCAGATATTTTTGGGAAAAGAAAATTCTCATATTCATTTTGTAGTTTCAAACTTCGTTAGTGTTTGTGACAGACGATTTTATGCAATTACTGGTTACGAACTAAAGGACATACATGTCGCATATATGTGTCGCTGTTGGCAAGGTATTTACCCGCAATTTTGATGATACGTGTACGCATAAAACCATTCTAATGAAACTTTAGAGTAGATAAAAAGTAGGTACGGCTTAAAGGAGGTGTACAGACTGCAAACTCCCAAAGCGACTACTTCAAGAGATTGAGCATTACATAATTGACTAGTGGATGGTCAAATCCACCGCAAAAATGCAAAACTCATTTCCTAAAACAATCACATCTAAGATTTGCACTCATAAAAGCTTTTATTAAGGAATGTGAATAGTTTCCCGATGTATTTGTTCTAACTCATTGCGAGAGGTCTTTACAACAACTCAAAAGTTAGGACAGTCAAGGAAAAGTTCGGGACATTAAGGACAAAAACCCCCCTTTGGAAACCAAAACTTATGGTTTAATGTGACTATGGAACTTCTGTTATGAAGTGAAAATGTGATACAATGCATTTACTAACACTGACCTTTGATTCAGGCAGTCATTGAGGACGTGTTTTCCAAACTTAATGCAAGCACAAATGTCGAATGCACTGATGAGATAGGATAAGAAATTAATGATAAGAAAGCATGTTTCCACTCCAGTGGCATTGACTCACACCAAGCACAAGACGAGAGTATGCCAGGGCTGGTGTAGGAGGGAAGAAGGGGGTGGAGGGTAGGAACGTCTAATCAGAAAGGGGGAGAGGCAGACACTACCGTATTTTTTTCGTCATTCTTTTACTTAGCACTTATCCAGACACCTTACTGCAGGTGGAGAAGCAAAAAGATCTCTGTGAATGCTTGGAGGGTCTGCGCAAATGAGGCGAAGAACATGCACCTTTTATCTGTTTATCACATCTGTCCAGATTTTTGAGAAAATGGTGACAAACATAGACAATTAAATTGAGAGCGTCAGGAGGTGATAAGTTTTTTTAGTATCCAGAGGGAATAGCCATCTCGGATGAGTTATGCCATGATGAAGGTGCATGCATAAGACACCGAACAAAGTTATTTGGAGAAGGAGGAAAGATGAAAGAGAACACGGCAATATACGGAACTTAGGTTTAAGGATTGGGCATACTAGACTACTTTTTTGTCTTTAATAACAACAGATTACATTGATTTGAACTTGGGGATTAGAGGTAATTCGAGGAGTAGGATAGACTTGTTATTTGACCTCGATGGACCGTTCCATTCCTCTATTCCAATGTAAAATAGCTCCAAATAACTTGTTTTTATTCTTGTTAATGTGTTTGGCTGTTGTCAGATTAACACATTAAGCTCATGAAGTGAGCGAAATGTCATAGCATGCTTTTTTGAGTAAAATAAGAAATTTTTGGGACTTAAATCGCTATTGGATGTGCGATACTCTAGGATTTGCTTGCATTTCATATTAATTATTAGGAGCCTGCATCAGAACGGCTATTTTATGACGAAAAGATGACAAAAATTGAGCATCCAACGTAATCGTGCTATTCGGAATTAAGACTCTGGTTCCACTAGACCTTATCAACAAGGTATATTTGGATAAAGTGGTCAAAGCAACGAGGATGGTTAGTAATTCGCATTCTCCAACAAGCCTTTGTGGAGCAAGTGAGACCTAGACTGGGAATATGACCGCCATCCCCCCAAGTATATTCAGCCCAACTCAAGACGCATGCACTGCAACAGCCTACCATCACGATGATAAATCGGTGCCACCGATGACTCAGACACATTGCGCTTCCTCTTTGAGGCGTGAGGCAAGAAACCATTTAAATTTAACTTGAAAACATCACTTTTGATGTCTTGTGTAGGCAAAAAAGTACGGGCCAAAAAGTGGCCGTAAAAAGGCACAAATTAAAAGAAAACCGAACGAGCCATGTTTAAAAGGGAGGAGGTAAGAGGTGGGAAGTGAATCACTCGAGACAAATTTTACCCTCCCGGCGTAAACAGCTTTAAACTTACCGACCAAAATACACGTGTTTTTTCCTCCTCCATAATTCTTTCGGGTCTTCGGAAATAAAAGTATTTAAAAATTAAATGGTACCGATGTCGACGAAAGAAAAACTCCCAATGTGATTGTGTCAGTGGTAGGCGCAATTTTTTTCTAAAGCTAGAAATTTGCCGAATCCGCTTCATTCTCAAATGGTAATAATTTTTTTCCACCTTGGACAGGGTTGTGCTTCTCTCCGGTGTAGGAAAGTGCACGGAAATGTTTAGAAATCAAGTACTAAACGGGTACTTGGATTAATCTTATAAAGTGTCTAAGCACCATTTAAATAATTACCATCGCGTTAACATCCAGTACTGTGGATATCTTGGTCATATCGACCTACCGCAGGTAAGCAAAATTATTTAATTAAACGGCAACCCTATTAGGCAGCTGGTTTTTCAATTCTTGGGTGGAATTAAACAATTCTTGCAAAGGTAAAGAGTTTTTACTCCACACGATTTAACGCCTAGTGAATCTGGTGGAAATAGGGGGAGAGAGAAGACAAAGGGGATGCCCCATTAACCACCATGTTGAAAGAGGTGAGTTAGCTCTAATTAGAAAGCAGTGAAGTGAAAACGGCTTCTTTATCAGACATTCATTTGAGCATGCTTTGGGCACCCCTCAAAGCGAGTCTACTTGAGAGCGATAGACGAATTAGCCTCCTTGTAGGTAAACAGAGCGCTCATGGTATAAAACACTGTAATGGAATGACATTTCTCGACACAGAAAACATTCCAAATGTGACTTTTTGCTTAATTTTCCGTAAGTGTTGTGGTAATGGTTAAAGATGCTTGGTAGTTCAATCTTCTGTAAAGTCTTTAAAACTGACTTTAACTTTATTAGACCAATATCAGTGATTTCTAATTGACTGGAAGCTAGCTGCAGCATGACAAGCTTTAATACTTTCACAAAATTTCAGGGTAGTACCGAAGTGGGATTGGTGCTCCTAATCATTGGAGCTCAGACATCACTGATGTGATAATTATTAGAAATAGAGTTGGTGGCTTAGCAAACCCCTGTTTATCACTAGATTAAATGCATAATGCCCAAATACTTACTGTTTACATGAATCCTTCCATGTCGGTCTTTATTCCAGAATGCCGTTGATACTGTCTTTGTGTCATCTATATGCTCCATACAGGTCATTTGACCTTAAAGCAACGAAACAAATATATGATGCCCCTGGTCTGAGGCTGAGGTTATATTTGTAATAAGTAAAGTGTTTGCCTAACTCCTTGTTTTAGTAACGGGTTACTCAGTGTCTCCACCATTGTGTCTTTGCCAGGTGGCCAGAACTCTAACTCATGCTAGCAGACCCAAGGCCTTCTCTCCATCAACAGTACATAGTCTGCTCAAGTAATATGTCTTCTTTTTTCTTCAGAAAAGTCTCAGGGCGCTCAGAGTGATCCCAATCTTACGACTGTATGCTAAACCCTAGCTGGGCGTAAGAGGTGCATATACTTGGGATGAGCGAATTCCCGAAGACTCCTAACAGAATAACCAATAATATCTGAGATGCACTAGCTGTAAACCACCTGGAAAAGTTCGCTGTGGAGCTGCCAACGGTGCCTGCATGATTTCAATGAAGTGGGCACGCGATACCTCCTTCACCTCTCTGCTAGCTGAATAGGAGCCAGACTAATATTGCTGAACAGCACCGAAGTGGAAATAAAGTGGAAAAAGTGAAACAAACTTAAAATCCTAGCCCTACAAAACCGCTTTACATCCCATTTTTATTACATGACTCGACTGTTAGTCCAGTGTTCCCTACCTCTAGCTATGGACATGCGTAATGGCCAGCACGTTCCTTTGTTCCCCCACTATAGTTCCCAATCAGAGCGAAAATTTAGATTTAGTGGAATTTTTTTAGGAGGATCAGTGTCTTTGCAGTCAGATATCTTCTTTACTTGTATGCGAATTCGATAATTGGTGCGGTCAATTTGTGGGTGTTTTTCCTTACAGCACTTACTATGTTGTGATGGGCGAAGCTGGAGGTTGACCAAAAGAAGGACAGGAGACGACGCTTAAAAGAGGAAAGGAGCTATGTAATATGAGGTGACGGGTCTACTTGAAGTCTCCGCTATTATTCTTTTGCCCAGCTGCCTGACCTCTGGCCCATGTTAGTGGCGAAAATACATGTTATTCTCGAATATTATGTCTTCCTTCTTACTCGGGGTAGTCTCGGTGTGCAACGTTTTTTTATTTTTGAACAGCAGTCGTAGTCAATTCAACTTTAAGGCTCCTTAGAAGATTCCTAAAAATATGCTTTAAATATTTCTGGCTCTTGCTGCCATAGCAGCCATATTTGCGTTGAACGTATGTTGAGCAAAGTCGAACTGAAGCAGCCACCACCCATCTAAACATCCACCAAACATCATCCTGTTGCATAATTGATACAGAAACGGACATCGCCAAGTGTAAGAAAGATTTACTTTTACTGATTCACACAAAATCGCATTAGGAGGCTCCTTGAGAGTATTAATTAAACATGCCCTCTCGCCCTCGGCCAGAAAAAGTGAACCCTCCTTCTTCTCTGGCCGCCTCATCCCCTCACACACACACGCACGAAATGCATAAGAGATGGAAGATGAAATTTCATTTTACACGGTTGTAAGGAATTTGCTAGCTCCTCATTGGAGAACTACTCCGAGGAATCCATTAGCCTCTTTCGTCTTTATGGCGATTCGCATTAACAACACCGCCCAACTCGCCTGTCAGGAGGAAGAATATACGTGCCATTTTTAGTAAGATTATCAAAAATGTGCATTCATTAAAAGCTGTAGACCAAGAAGATTATTGGCTATAAGCCGAGGTAATTAAATTGAAAAAACAGACAAAGCCAATTCTAAGGAGTGTAGGCTACCTCAATTTTTTTGCCATAATCTGCCGCTTCCACATGCAGTCACTCATCTCAGATTGAAACAGATATTTGAAAATTTTTGAGCAGCCCGAACTACTTCGTCATCTGCGCCTAAATGCTTATCAAAAAGGTTCAAATCATTCGAAGAGATTAAATTTACTGTAACATGCACGTGCTGCAGTCTAGATCAACTCAACGTGGTTGTTTCTTCTGCAGTCGTGTACGCACATCAGACGGATAGTAACGATAAACCGAAAGTTGCTTTGGCCTTAAAAGCATGGCTGTAACAATCAACGGGGCTCCAGGTATTCACCGTGCAATAATTTCTTC